TTTTTTTTTTTTTTTTTTCTCAGATTGATGGTGAGAAGGCCGCCAAAGGCAAGGAGGAGGTTTGTCCATTTATGTCGATTTTATTTTAAATATTATTATATTTATGTATTTATATATTTTTTTATATTTTACTGTCTTTATATATTATTTATTTATTGCTTATATCAAGTTGCAAGCCTTATGAAACTCAAGCAGAACATATTTCTGTGTAAAAAAAAAAATGTTTACATAAATTAAATTGATGTAAGAACATTTTATGTAAATTTCTTAGCAGAAATGTATCCTGCTTGTGCTTGATGAATAGCGACTTGACTTTTTTTTAGTTTATGCTTACATGAATTTACATCAGCCATATTCACTATAATAGACAATTAACACATATATATTTTTTTCAGTGAAATATAATAATATACATTTTATATCAGTGTTAGATCATTGATTGGTATTGATTCAGTGTTATTTTTCGCAGCCAACAAGACGCTCCGCGAGGTTGTCTGCTGTAAGTTTCATGTTTGGATCTATTTAAAAAAAATAAAATAAAAACTATTAATGCTAAAGTTTTCTTTGTCTAATTAATCTCTGAATTGATTTACAGAAACCGGCTCCTCCTAAACCAGAACCAAAGGCCAAAAAAGCCGTCCCTAAGGTAAGGATGTTCAGCTTTGCGATAATATTATATGATCATTTAGTAATTGAATTTGTTCCGTTGACGACACAAAATGCCTTGCCCACATGTTAACCATCAAACTGCAACCTGCAAACATATTTATTGTTGTTGGTCACACAGAAGGCAGCCAAGGGGAAGAAGGGCAGCAACCCTGCTGAAAACGGAGACGCCAAGGCAGACCAGGTCGGTCTGTAAAGTGGTTAGAAGAGACTTAAATAAATACACAAATAAATAAATATCAGACCCTCAAGTGCTTCTACTTCTGCTTTTGATTCACTATATCTGCTCTCGCACAGCAACTAATTATTGGAGCGCGTAAGGTTTGGTAATTGCTCAGCCAAATCGCTGTTGAACTGACTTTTCTTCATCACTTTCCTCTAGGCACAGAAGGTTGACGCTACTGGCGATGCCAAATGAGAAGCTAGCGAGTGTCTGATCCTTCTATGTACTTGGTGACTGTACAGTTTGAAATAACTATTTTTTACCAAGTTTTATATTAAGAATAACATTTATAGTTGACTTGTTGACTTGCTTTTTATGTACCGATTGATTTGACAGGAGTTACGATATTTCATTCATATCCATTTGTATCCCATTTTTTAATCAAGCCGTCAATATCTTGCCAAAACAGTTTGCTCTTGCTAAATCTGTTGGCGAAAACGCAAGAAGTTTGTCCTAAAGTTTGTTTTATTGCTTTATCTTTCTTTCTTGGTTTATCTTTGGATTTTAAACACCAAACATTCTCAAAAGGCAGCTTAAGAGTGTTTCAAAAATGTTTTCAGAAGGGTTTTCACCATGTTGTTAGCATTTAAACGTACAAATACTGTGTTTTCATTTTTAGCTTTTTTTAAAGGAAATTACAATGAAATTGTCACTAGGAAAAAAAAAAAAAAGTAAATAAGGCAACAATGTTGAGTAAAATTACAATGTGAACCTTCGATTTCTTTAGAGCTGTGTGTTCTGAGCTTGTCTTGTTTATTAAGTTATGTTCTGCAATCGTGGAAGGATATTCAGTGACTCTTAAAATGCTTTGTTTTAAATGGTTTTGAATAAAAAAAAATAAAATAAACTGTCCAGAAAAAATAAATCATCCTTGTGTGTATATATGTATAGTATATATTACTTATTACATAATATATTTTAACGTACCATTATCCAATGATCATCTCGTAGCAATTTATATATGCTTTCTAATATAAGCAAAGTATAATAAAGTGCTCTTCAATGGCAATTACCGTACTGAAAATGCATATTTGTTTTCTGGAAACCGGTTTTAAAATAGTGTTTAAAGCTACTAAGCATATAGGTTATTGTAGTTACATTTGTTTCTCGCTAGATGTCGCTGTCTTGTAAAAATTGAGCGAAATCTATTCAAACTGTACTCATTCACTGTCCGCCAGGTGGCGCTATTTGTTAACTAAAATCAGCCGCGTGGTTTTCAGCAACAGTATAGGCTCAAATAAGCGTTTCAGTCTCGGGGACACCTAAATTCATCAAATGCATTTGGTCTAAAACTCGTTTTATATCCTTTGTGATGATATTTCCCATGAGAGTGGGAATGTGTTTCCTGGAAAACTGGAAAACGTTACTAGAAGGCCTACAGATTCCTTGAGCTGATGACCCTCATTAAAATACATGTTTACAAAGTTCTATAAATAATCAAGTGACATTTCAGTTCTGTATGTGGTGCAACACAAAACTAACCTGAAAGTAGCATTTGTAAACGCCGGTAAGAATTTGTCTCGGATTTTTCCTATAAATAGAGATATGACCTTTCTAAGTATCTTTAAAAGTTGTAAGACAAGTATTTCTTGTATTCACTACCCTGTAGTGAATATCACAGTGATTCTACGGTTTTGTATCCTTGATATTGTAAGAGGCAAACACGCCAGAGAATGTTTTGTGATCGTTTATGAATGAATTTTTTCAACAGAACATACATTTCTCATCTTAAACTGTTTTGAAACATAGTAGCTGGTTTCTAGATGGACATTTAGCCGGCCGACTCACTAATTTGTTACAAATAAAAAGCTTGACCACAGTTAGCAAGACGTATTTTTTAGAGAGTTTGCTCATCTGCAATACATCTATAGGACGTTTCCTATCAGATTTGACAATAGACGTTTAGAAGATGTCTTTAAGATGTTTATGATTTAGAATGAATGTAAAACTGACGTCTATCAGATGTTTGTACACAGCAGATGCTTTCCAGATGAAGCGATGTTTAACAGACATCTTGCAGATGTACGTGTGCTATCTGGGATTGTACATGAATTGATAAAAGTTGGTTTGTGGCCTAAAAATCTACATTAGATCTGTAAAGAGAAACATGGAACGTTTGTATGCCATAAACACACTGAGGCCAAACATCTTTGCTCAGAGGAATTTGCTGATGAAACAAGTACAAAAACAAATCAAGTGCAAAATAAAGCCACATTTGCACGTAAATGCCAAGTGAGATGTTAACAGGATGAGTAAAGCATGCTTTATTGACAATCCAGTAGGCTACCATTCCAACATAGCGGTTAATTATTGAACGGAAATCAATCAGGACCGGTCAACAATGTTCCAATTATGCCATAAACACACTGAGGCCAAAGCATCTTTGCTCAGAGGAATTTGCTGATAAAACAAGTACAAAAACAAATCAAGTGCAAAATAAAGCCACATTTGCACGTAAATGCCAAGTGAGATGTTAACAGGATGAGTAAAGCATGCTTTATTGACAATCCAGTAGGCTACCATTCCAACATAGCGGTTAATTATTGAACGGAAATCAATCAGGACCGGTCAACAATGTTCCAAACGCTCTGAAATTTAAAAACACAACAAACGTGTTCTAAACACGTCCACATGGGCTTCAACCTTACAGTCTATGGCTTCTTCAACGTGTTCAGCCGGAGCCCCGCCCACTATTCAATCTATAGGCGGACCGGGCTTCATATATAACGTGGAGGAACATTGTGTGCCTTCAGGTTTCTGGCACTTTCACCTCACGGCGGCTCGAATCATCAGGTAAGAAACGCAGAAATCAACACGAGATGAAATGAGTTCCATGACTGTCATGTTTGCGCAAAAACCGCAAAACTGCGTCAACGCCAGTTGGTATTTATATATATATTACCCCCGTATTTTTTTTATTCAATAGCAAACTAGTCTGTGCAGATCAGCTGATGATAGTAATATGTGGTGCTACTGGTTGTAAATCTAGCCAAATGCCACCATAAAGCGGGTGAGTGTATTCATCGATGCAGTTCTACAAGTACAAGTGATCAAATCAAATTTCAGATCAAACATCCTTTGTCTTTGTTTAAACCTAAAACATTCTGAAAACCTACTTTATAAGTCTGTTTATTATACATAGTATTGTTTATTTATTTTTAAATTGAAAGTTTATTAAAATTACATGAAAAGGTTAGTCAAACCAATGGGTTTTACAGGAGATTTACGTAGTTCTGGATTTGTAGTTCTGTATCACTGTTGTAGTCATTTCTTTTATTTTGTGGAGGATTATCTTTCTGTTCCTTATAGGGCACTCAACAGAGCTTGATTTTTTTTTTTTTTCCATTTAAACCCTTTTTACAGATAAAAACTAATAAAAATTATTAATTAAATTGTTCATTTTATGGGTGAATCTCAGAAATTCAAGTCACAATTTGTCCCATAAAACCCTATTTTAGGTTTCATGAAGAACCATTGAGATTTTTTTTTCATGACAATTAAGAACATTTTCTCCCCAAATACTCATTGCTATCTGAATGTTTTGTGGTTAAATTTATTTAATTTGTTTGTTTATTTATTTATTTTTTAAAATATTTTTGTTATCAATGGTGATTTTCTTAATACTCTCACAATACACAATTCATGAAAATGTCACAGTGCAAAATATCTTTTTGGCCCTAAAATATGATTTTGTATTGTTCTCTTTGGTTTTGGGATGGAATGTTCTGGACAGGTTTCATGAGATTCACCCTTGTACTTACAGTAATCAAATTCAAGAGTTAAAATACCTTGTTATAGATATTAGTTAAAAGAGCATTGTTTTACCGCACATTTGATAGATTCTACTTTTTTTAAAATATTTTTTATTTTTATTTTATATATATATATATATTTATATATAGGTGTTTTTCCGGTTTTTTTTGTTTTGTTTTTTTGTTGTAGGGGTAGGTATGGCTGGATTTTTATGGCAAGTGTCAACAAGACCGGCGTCAGGGATTCAGGTCATTTTAGTTGAACATTTAGAATTTGGATTTAAAATCACTTAAAAAAAACAACCTGGCAAAATGTTGAAGGATGACTCTGAAAGTGTGAATGTTTTGAAAGGCTAATCTAAAGTGAAGTGACAGTAATTGATGTTCCCTCTCTTTATGGTCTAGATTTGATGCGTGTCAGATTAGTTCATCCCATACTGATTTTTTTTGAATGAGTGAGACTTTTAATGTTTTGCAATGCTTTTCCCATTTTTAATCTTATCACTGATCAAAAAAATGACACCAGAAGCCATAAGAAATCAAGTTTCTCCTCACTGAAGAGAAGAAATATTTTCCCTTCACCACACCGGGCTCCAAAAAAACAATTACAGAAACTCTCTCTCTCTCTCTCAGCCTTTGTAACTGCAAGGTCCCCTATTGTCAATATTTGAAGGCCCCCCTACACCTGCTTTGGTATTTCCTACTTCCGCTGAAATCACAAAAGTGCATGTTTTCATACTTATTTTTAATTGCGAGAAACAAGGGCTCAAGTTTTACATGCATCGTTCCTTTGTTGCGTATTTTATCTTTCCTTAATGCTGTTTTCTTGGCTCTTGCATGTTAGATTTTTTTCAAATTAACGCAAATGGATGATTACTGGATTAATGGAAGTCCCCTACCGAATTAGGTCATCCGTACGCAATGAGATGACCTTTTGTTACATCACTCTTTGGAAAATCTGCAATGATGTATTCTGTAATTCAGACCAGTGAAGTGGAATAGACTTGCATAACGAAAACACAGTGCACGGCTGTGTGGTCTGAGATGTAGAAGCATAACGGTGGATGAATGCGGTCACTCCATCCTGATTTGGAGACAGGATAATGGAGAATGAACTTGACAATATCTTGCATCTGATTTGGACTGTACGATCTTATAAAATGGAAACTGTATGCTTTTTTTTTTTTTTTTTTTTCTCACCCTGCTGGTTCAAATAACTTATTCACCAGTTT